ATATATATATATATATATATATATATATATATATATATATATATATATATATATATATATATATATATATATATATATATATATATATATATATATATATATATATATATATATATATATATATATATAGGTAAAAAAAATTTAGTGCCCCTAAAATTATGGTGCCTTGTGTCACACCCTAATTTTTAACCCTAAGATTCCACCTCATTTGCACCATTTTGGCATAACATCAATCATCTCATATGTGTGTTTTGTGCATTACTAACCCTTTTTGAATCCAAGAGTATGTGCTTTGGTTTGCTCTGATCATAAGCTAAGGTTTTGGTGTCAAGAAGATCAAGAATTTGACCAGTCAAAGGATTGTGGGATCCTCGGCCTCTCAAGCCCTAATTCATTCAACATCGATCAATGGTTTCCTCTCATCAATAATCAAATGCAAGATTGCATTGAATCAAGATCAGCAAGCCCCAAGTTATCAAGTGCACCAAATTATAGTTTTTGATCTAGTTCAGTCTTAGTTTGACTTTTGGAGCAAGGCATGATCCTATAACTCAAGACATGTTTCAAGAACCTCAAATGCATCACATAATTCCATTCATATGATTGGATTGATTCAATAAGTTTGGTTCATAAGCAATGGAAGAATTCAAGTTCATTTGTTGAAAAGTCAATTGTGATCAAAATCAAGTTTGACTTTTGAGATTTTTGGTCAAACAAGGACTCCACAAGTCAAAGATCATGAAAATATGTAAATTGGATCATGATGAAAATCGAAGAAAACATCCAAAGATCATGATTTGGAAAGATTAGGGTTTCTTGATTTTTTCTAAGTTATGGAATTTTATGGTTTTTGCCCTACTTTCCAAGCCTATAACTTCTTCCTCAAGCATCCAATTGAAACACTTGAAGACTCATTTCAAAGTTGGTATTAAATAATTTATTTTGGTGAAATAAAGGGCTCAAAAGAATTTACCAATTGGAAGTTATGATTGTTCAAAGTTAAGGATTTTCAAGATGTGAAATTTCCAATACTTAGAAAATTTTTCAAGTATAAATCAGTGAAAAGTTCAATTTTGGTAGCCATTTTTCTCCATGATCTAAATTTAATATTTCCAAGTGATCAACATCAAAGTTGTAGTATATGATCCCATATTTCTAATGGTACTAAGAGCAAGAAAATATATTGCTTGAGCATGAAGTTATGATTTTCCAAAGTGGGCATGGTAGGCAGTTTTGATTGTGTGATAACATGCTTAAAAGACTATAAGAATGGTGAGGAAAACCCTTGGTATTAATTAATGAAATAAACTAGTAAAGTGATTAGGACATGATTAATAACATAGATGACAATACTTGTGCATTGATGCCTAGGTGTGTATCATTGACAAGAAGTTTCCTAGTTGTGAGGAGATCTTTGTATGAAACATGTATGGTTTGTGTTGTTTATGGTCAAAGTGAATGTGATGCCTTGTGATTCTCGAAGATAATCATGTTATCCTTATTGATTACATAAGCAAATGGAACCTATGGGTAAAAAGACTTATGATGGGGTACGACCCATGAGAAGTGACGATTCATATGGTCGATTATATGTCCCTTAGAATCTGAATCCATTCGACATTATGTTATGCTTTATCACGTAGTTGGAAACAAACCCTTGAGAAGTGATATAAGAGATTATAATTGAGAGCATACAATTGTTGATCTTGAACTTCCAATGGAATGTATGTGTCCAATTCCAATACAGCAACATGTGATGTATGTTGTCAACAAATGAGTAAAGAAATTGCTTACATTCAGTTGAAGTGACAAGATACAAATGGATAATGAATATGAGTTAATCCTAAAGTAGATATTGAGAAATATTTTTGTGTGTACCTCATTAGGGTTAAGCAAGTTGTTCAAGGTTTCGTAAACATAATCATCCTTAATGATCATCATAATTGAGTATTGTTAGAAAGAAGATTAATACTTGATTCGAAATGCTAGATATTTGTTCAACAGTTTGTCAAGCTGTGCTGAATATATTTTCGGGTTGCCCTTTCCAACCTAGGCATAATGTCAATGTAATAGAGCTGAATGTAAAGGAAATCTAAAAAAGTATGCATAGTTGGTTTTGAAGTTCTTACCGCCTTCATGAGTTATCTTAATCTCTAGTTGTCATTTCAATGAATGGGATATAATCCTTATCCCAAAACACAAAGCATCCAACATGGTTGCCATACTCAACCTCAACTTCTATTTTGTATCTAATACATGAAAAAAAAAAAGTTACTTAAGAAAGTTCAGCATTTTCAGACATAAAAGGGCAAAGGTGTATAGAAAAATAATATCTCACTTATTGATAGGTTCCACATCTTTCACTCCACAAATACGTTCAAATTTCTCTTCATGCGATTTGTTAGATGTTTTACTAGTAGTGCAAACCTCAAAATACCATCCAAACTTGAAGGCTTTGAATCTTTTAGTAATGTTAGTTGTTGTTATGAAACAATCCTATTATTAAATCATAGAAAGTCAACCAATATATCAATTCTCCTTTGAGAAATGTAAAGGAAACAATAATACATACATTTCCCAATTCATTGATTTGGCGAATAGTTTTGACCTTATTTGGGCTAGTCCAACTTTTGTTGGTTGATTGTACCGATGAATCACAAGTTTGAATCAGAGAATGAGATGATGCATTTGATAATTGTGTTGATCCAAAACTGAAATATATTTAAACATCACAAGTCATGTTTCAAAATAAGACAAATGAAAATTTGGAAACTATGCACCTTTGAATGATCAAAATGCAATGTTTACTACCTGGATTTAAATGATTAAACTTAGGGGGTGGTCTAGGTTAATGTGAAGTCTAGAGCCATTCCAAGCATTAGAAAGGCTTGGTAATCCAGATGTTGATGCATAGACAGAGATATATACTTATAGTGCAAGAGAAAAAAAACGAATCATGGAATAATGATAAAGATGATTTATTCAAATAACGTGGGAAACCTTAATTTTTATTACACCATACATGTGTCAAGATAATGATTGTTGGACCAACACTCTTGTTAAAGTTATTGTAGTCCATGAATTGTTTCCCATAAGGCAACCTCAATGACATTCTCAGGTTCATCACGTAGAGTGATATTGACGCATGATTTCTTACCACCACTGCCCATTTGTGTTTTTATAACATCTTGTAATACTCCAATAATGCCTGAAGCATAACAAAAAATATATAATGAACACGTGTTACATTCCAAGTTTGATTAACCATCAATGCAATAATAAAATCATACGATAAAAATGACTAAATTAGTATGCATAAAGGAAAAAACACTATATAACATATCACTCTAGAAATGTCCATTGAGAAAATGTTCAATAACCTTAAACTTGAATTGGTGTAGTGGTATTTATGGTATCGCAGTATTTGAAATAGTTATTCCTCCATTGAAGACAAATTTAAGTTTATTGGGACAGACTTTGAAAGGGTCATCATTAACCATTGGCTCTCCATTATAAAGATAATATGTTTCATGTTCCATAATTTGTTTAATTAAATCTTTAAAATCTCGGTTCCTCGTTATAACATGTATTTGATTGCCATGTTAATGGTTGATTATTTAACAATAAGAAAGACATTTAACTGCAATAAGTGTGGCCAACTCTTACCTTTCCATCTTGTATGGCCAATTCGAGATGTTGTTGTCTGTTTTTCTCCTTAACAACTCAAGGGTTAACAACGCGAACATGCATTTTTCATGCTTGATTTACTTTCACCAAATCCTTGATGATAATAGGTGACTTTGACATTGTTGAGAAATGAGCTGCAAAATGAGAAATCCAACAACTTATAACGAACTCAGTGAGCAAATAAAATAAAATGCAGTTAAACAAACAAAATGAAACTCATGTTTTAAGATTCACAAATCACTTGCTCAGTAGTTTAAGAATATTAAAAAAAGAAAAAACATGACAGAAGATTTCAACAGTTAGTAATGCTTAATTTGTTTAAAATATAAATCAGTGAAACATGTTTTAATGAAGCTTTATGGTTGTAAAAGTTTGTCAAACTGAGTTAAGACCAATAAACTCAAGAAAACTAAGAGAGCTCCATTTGAACTTCGAGTAAATAAAATGAATATCAGTTAAAACAAACTCAGTGAATAAATAAAATAAAATGTAATTAAACAAACCAAGTCAAACTCATGTTTTAAGTTTCACAAATCATTTGTTCAAGAATTTTCTGCAAAAATAGATTTATGCAACATTTCTTCTAAATATTTGAAGAGTGTATGATATTTATAAGAGTTTTTTTTTGCAACAATCGATTTCTGCAACATTTAAAAAAGTGTTTGTAATATAAATTTTGGAGAGTGTATGATATTTATAAGAGATAGACATGGAGAATGCAATGCTGGAGAAAATGTGAGGTAATGAAAAACTTTTGTAATATAAATTTTGTAAAGTGAAGTAGTGTATTGATTGGAAGGGAGGAAGTGTGTTTTTGGGGGAGAATGTGATTAATTAGATCAATAAGATGCTGACACGTGTTCTGCCAAGTGATATGAAAGAGAGTTTTAATTGATACATTTGTTATTTAATTTTTTTGTTAGTGTAATTAATTTGAACAAAAAAAGATAATTTAGGCAAAACATGCAATAGAAGGTAGATAGATAAATTAACAAAATTGAGATGAAAGTTTCAATTAATATACTTCTTCTGTTTTAAAATAATTATCCTTTTAGTAAATTATATTTATTTCAAAAGTACTGTTATTTTTACTTTTCAATTTAAAAATCATTATTAGTTTTTCAATTATTTTCATTAATTTTTACTTTTTACATTATTTGCAACACATTAATGTGATTAATTTAATAAAGTGTAATTTCCAGGGACAAACAAAATTATTGCATTGAGTAGAATTTATAAAAATATGAGAATGGCATGGGTGTTATTCTTTGCGAAACTAAGGTTAAAGTAGTTGGTAAACGATAACGAAGAACATGTCACTCCTTTCCTCCCTTCGATCCAATCATCATCATCATCATCATCATCATCAGTTGAAGAGAACAGGAATGGGCGTTGCATTAACACCGTTTCTTCCCAGTCTCCCTTCAATTTCCACTTCCACCCACAATCGCAGTTTCATCGTTGCTCCATATAGTACCCGTCGCATTCACATTACGATAAAATGCGTGAAGTTAGATAATGCAGATACTGAATCAGAAGCAACGATAATGTGCGAAGCTTGTAACGGAAAAGGATGGTTAGTTTGTGATTTTTGTGAAGGCCAAAAGACTAACGTCAAAGCACAGAACAACCGTATCTACCGTCGTTGTCCCTCCTGCAAAGCCGTGAGTTAGTTATTATCATTGATTAATTAGTTAATTAAAAAAATCAAGTTGTTTATTTTTAATTAATTAGTGTAACTAATTGTTGCAGGTTGGATGTGTACTCTGTTCGAAGTGCAAGGTTTTTAAATGCGTCACTTTTCCTGATTTCAACGACTCTCCGATTAATTAATTCATTCAACCAAGGTACTCTCCAAAGTATTTCTATACTCTCCAAAGTAGATTTATTTAACGAGTCATGTGACTTGATATCCTTAGCAGATTAGTAATCTGACTGGTGTAACTTCCAAGTAGAAATACTTTGGATTTTTCTCATCAGAAGATAGCTTTGACTTCTCTACAATTGTACCTTGTTTGAATGGAATCTATTGCATGTTAAATACGAATATATATATAATTGATTTGTGTACAGACTATACAGTTATCACCAGAAACAAAACTCTGGTAGTCTGGTTACCTCTAACTAACGTGTTTGCGGCTAAATTGATGAGTGCTATATACATATTATAATTATGCAACTGATTGTTATCAAGCCATGTGCTGCTATTTGTTTAACAAAAGTCTTCTGGAACTTAACAGATGATTGATTCCATGTAAGTCTTTACTTGTGAATTGTGATTTACAATTACCACACATAACAAGACGGCGTATTTTTCAAGTTTCACTGTTTACATGTGTTTTTACCTGCAGAAATGAATGCTTTCATGTGAGCTGTTAGCTGCATAATTGATTGTTAATAATAAATTTTAATCTGTATTATATAATGGAAGATCTTGATGATAGACTTTGATTTGTTTAAGCTCAAAGTATATAAAGTTTTGTGTCATTACATGCATTAATTTATTATATAATTTGTTAGAAAATTGTCAAATATGATAATGCACTTTGTTTACTCCATCAATGTATGGAAACTAAACTCAAATAAAATATTCAAACTTGAATGCAAGTGACTATAGTTTATTATTATGAAATATAAGTGATTTTTTTTTCATGTTAAGCCATATGCATAGATATATTTTGCATGATTGAAAGTGGAAAACATATGTAATTGCCACTGACATTGCAGCCCATGATACCAACTATTTTAAAACATAAAAAATGCAATAACATGGATTCTAAGATGAGACAAATCATTAGATTGTAGTATAACTAATGTTACTGTCCTGTTATCATTTTTGTAGATTTCATTTGTCTGCATTCTAAGATCTTTCTCTTATTTAAATTCACACTGAGACGATTACTTCTATTTTCGCATAGATTAATCAGACCATGGAATAATCGTCAACTGTAAAGGAAGTTAATCAAGACAGCTAGCATATATACCTTTCCGTTTGAAGCTTTTCTGTTAAATGCTTTTGATTGATTCAATGAACTGATTACAATTAAGTCTCTTTTGTAAGGTTGAGTTAGATTCAGCTTAAATTCTAAGATACGCGTACTTTTCTTAAGTGCTAATATTTGTTTCTTTGTTTTTTTTGTAGAATTAGCGTCAACTGAGTCATTGTTTCTGTCGTGAGAACGAGTGATACTAGCAAAAGATTTGGACAATAAAAGTTGTATGCTTCTCATATATAATTAATACATATATAGATCGGCTTCGATAAGTAACTAGCAAAAGATAAAAAAAAAATGGTTAAAGTTGTCAAATGACAGACTATCTGCACATAGGACTATCAGGATGATGATAATAACCGAGCTGGTGTGAGGAACAGTATCCCATCATTTTTTCAATACCAAAACTACATTTCTGAGTAGAAAATTCGTCTTTTGCTTCCACCGTCTTCAAGATATTCTCAAACACAGATACTTCACAAGGAATTCTTAGAACACCAGTTTGTTCGAATCCGAATTCTTCTTCTGCTTCTCTGAGTAATACATGAAAGGCTTGATGAGTCAAATACTCGGTTGGTATAACAAACCTGTTAAGTTCTTCACCGACGCAAACTGCTAGGTAGCCTTTTGGAACCGCACTCGATCCTCCTCCTTCGCGTTCGGACATTGAAAGTGTTCTTTTAAGAAACTTTATGCTTTTACTAGTAGTACTGTTGTTGTTTGTTTTTGAAGCATTGGCTATTCTTCTCCATTTCTTAAGGACTTGTTGAAGTCTAACGATGTCTCTAATCTTGTTAGGTTTCTTTGGTTGATCCATATTTGTATATATGGTGATGGTGTCTCTGTTTAAGAGATTTGGTTTATGTATGCTTTGTGTTTTTGAAAGGTATGTAGTTAGATGAGAGAGTTTGACTATTTGGTTCTCTCTTCATTTTTGGGCTAACTTAAGCCTGGCTATATGAGTTGATGCAATGCCTTAATTTATAGAAGAATTGTTACATTGAGATTCTCAATATTAAAAGGTTCAAATCTTTTTTTGTAATAAAAAATTAGCTTGATTACGTGAGGTCATTAGAATTGAAACAGAACTCAAAACTCAAAAGCTATTTGCAATATATCTATATGTTTCGGGTTAGACAAAATAATTTGACACTCATTAGAATCGAGTTTAAGAATAGTTTATATACAATCCTCATGTAAAATTTAAGGATAATTTAAATATAACACTCAAGTAACAAGAGTTCTTACAGCAAAAACAAACAATACCTCGTATCCGCAGTGACGCGGACTTAAGATCGATTGGAACATTACGTGGGAAGGAGCTCAATGTTAACCTTGACTAAGGGGCAACTATTATGAATTGATCAAAATAGTCTCACATTATGTTAAGAAACGGGGGTTAAGATCCGGTGGGCCACCTTCTATGGTTTCCGCAATCGGGTCATCCGCCATTTATTTTCACGCTTCAGTTGTCCAGTCCTGAGCGTGAGGGGGTGTGTTAAGAGTCCCACATCGGACAATATATGGCATGAACATGTGTTTATAAGTTGGGGTAAGGTAATCCTCACTCTATCAACCGGTTTTATAGGGTTGAGTTAGGTCCAACCACATTTCTTAACACACTGGCTAACCTTTTTCTAAAAGGAGTCTCACTTGATGAAACTCTAAAATTTCTCGGCATATGCGAGTTTCAACAATTATATAGGTTAAACAAATTATAATCGATGAAAATCGCATTAACTTTTTTCCTAAAAGAAGTTTCGCTTGATGAAACTCTAAAACAATCTCATGGCATATGCGAGTTTCAACAATTACATAGGTTAAACAACGTAGAATTGATGGAACTTTCAACAATTACATAGGTTAAACAACGTATAATTGATGGAACTCGCATACGCAACACTTTAGCTAGGTTACTATCGCGAAACAACAATTTTAAAATGCAATGCTGTAACTAGGTTACTATGGTGAAGCAACAATTTTAAAATGTTGAATTATGGAATACTATAATCAACTTATTTTGTTTTCCTATATGTGCCACATGCATGTGAATAGAAAAACAACAAAAAAATATTGTCCAAGTTAAGGGAGTTGGACATCAAGCTGTGTCTCCGAGGCTCCACATGTGAGTGATTAGTGCAAGTCAGAGCTTTCTCTCTCCCTCATCATTCTTTGTTTTGAAAGTTAAATCCATATGGTTTTGATTAGTTTAAATCAAGTGTGACTAGGTCATGAGATTAGGTATATGATTAAATAAACAAATAGTCAATTACTAAGCATATGTTTTATATTAATTGAGGGGTGTAGCTTGCTACTAACTGGTTTTGTTTCCAACGAAAACCACGGCCCCTAACATGCAGTTTAGCCTCGTACAAAGAAACTGTACATTTGTTGTACCATTCAAAATCAAACGCACTAGCTTGAATGATGTATGAAATGAAGACTTTAGAGATTTAAATATATTAAAGGTTGTTCTAGGAGAGGTGCTTCATTCCTTGTATGGTGCAATGTTCATGCATATAATAGAGGTACATCACGTCATAGAAAGTTGAATTGTAAGACAACTTTGCTATGGCACCTCAAGACGTTGATGGGACTCTTTAGATCTAATTTAATTCATTCTTAATAGTTTCTAGTTCAGTTATATGATAATTTATCGATTATCACTTTGATTGTCTTCTGTTATGTCTAACAACTTAGATTATTGTCTCGTTAAGTCAACTTAATTGATGATAATTATGCAGAGACATCAAATATATCAAATATAAGAGTACGAGTTGAAACTCGCGACATCTCACTTTGTTTATCTTTATATGGTGAATTCAGTCACTAAACTATTTGACTCAAAAAATTTATATTATTTTTATATGAAAGTTAATGTCTCATGTGTTGCATTGGTTGTTTAGTTTGGTTATTAGAATATCAATGTGAATTCCCGTTATTCCGACTCAATTGATAATTACATGAATATTTAATTGTAGAAGTGAAGGTTCGAATTTATGATATTTCATTTATTCCATTTTTAATAAGTGAAATTATCGTCATTCAACTATTAAACAAAAAAGAAAGAATAATAAGAGTGATGAGACTCACTTTTAAAGAATGAAATTCTTATCATTAAGCTATTAGACAAAAAAAAAAGTAGAGAATTTCTTATCCTATCCAATGAGGTGGAAAAACACCTTATTAAAAATCCAAAAAACCTCTCAGATTTTGGAGATGCATCTTCAAATGCACATTGTCTTAAGTCAAAAGGTTAATTGATTTGAACATGTATCTTCGTAATATTTCAAAACACATCCCATAATGGTCCATTTTATATGTTTATTGTTTTGGAGATGCATCTCCGTTTAGGTTTTACGGAATTGCATCTTCGTAACCTATTAAAACAATGCAAGTTTAGTAAGTTTTATGGTTATTCAGATGAAGATGAAAATGACGATTTATAAATGTCAAGGACCCTGTTATGTGACGAGCATTAAACCATACGATCAATATGCAAACAAATGAAATATATAAATCCAAATAAGTCATTAGCTGATACATAATGAAGTCGAAATACACAATATAGTCAAAATAACTCAAAATAAAATGCAATCGATAATAAATCTAAAGTATAAATACTATTAACTACTCTGTATGCCGGACTAGAGCTCCTCGGCCTCCTCTACCCCCCGACGTTGTCTTCGGCACATCAACGCCTCACGTGACTCTGTCATAATGGCATATAGGACCTGCCTCACCTTAGACCCATCAGGAAATATACCTCTATCAATGTCTGATTGTACAATCTCCGCAATGCAATGATATCTAGGCAAGACATCATGAGTATGATCTAACTATGTCTGCTCTTCCTCTATTATCTCCTGATGAGATGACCTCAGTGGATCTTCTAAAGCAGCCTGCACCATATACAGACGTGAAACCCTGAAAAACCACATGATGTACCCGTCGACATAGATCCAATTGCTCTTAGCTATGATACTTTATACCTCTTCGGGTACCAGATGACTAAGATAATCATCAAACATGACATCCATATCTCTACGACTTTGTTTGGATTGATGGAATCGGATGGAACGGAGTGGAATGAGATGGAATAGAATGATATTGCATTGTTTGGATCATTTAAAATTCGATGGAGCAGAGCAGAATAGAGCGGTATGGATTCCATTCCATCACTTACCATCATTTTGTTCCCCACCAATTTGGGTGAAATAAATAACTTTCCTTATTCCACTATAAAATTTTTAAATAATGGAACGTGACATTTGTTCCGCTCCATTTTGCTATGTCCCACTCTGCTCCATTCCATTCCCCTCCATTCATTTTATGATATCCAAACATATCCTACGTGTCATAACAGAAAGAGCAGAGACAATAGGATGTCTGGAAATAGTCTGAGTGTAGTCAAACTTCTGCATGACGTGCTCAGGCAGATGAGGAAATGTGAGACGTGAACCTCAAGCCAACCATTCCAAGTATAACACTATGTCATAAAACGGTCGCGTCTCACGGTGATCGACATGGTTATTAAAATGCATATCCTCGACTACCAAGCGATCAAGATACACTCTAAACGGCTCTGTCGCCTAGTTCCCTCTTAGTGGAGCAACTGCAGAAGCACACAACATACCATTTGTATAAGTCGGTATACACGACCAACCGAAGATGCGCGAGAAATGCTGGAGGATCCAAGCCTGAAAAGTGTTGGAACACACGAATCATCAGTAAGGGTGTTGCAAAAATGTAATGAAAATGACACACAAACACTAAAAAATCAATAAATATTATTGCGAGTAGTGTGATGCTGCATATCATCTACTTCATCTTCCACCTACAACCCTATGATAACTTAGAGTACAAGTAAAATAAACAAGCGCCCCCAGTTGTATTCATGGATCCATTCGAAGTCCTCGAAGTATCATAAGTAGACGATATCGACATAAGTGTCACTCTTGTCAACAAAAATGATAGTGACAACCAAATATAACATGTAGGCTTGAATAACATATGTTCTCTGCATCCCTACCTGTTCATCATCACCTATATCCTGCTTTTCTCTAAGGAGCTCATATGTATATACCTTTTTTAGGAATTCAAACCTAGCATGAGCTTGTATGGTTTTTCCATCTCTCTTTTGGCTGCCTTTAGGTCAACTCCCAGATAGTCTACCATCAACTCAAGTGCCTCATATTTTCTAATCCTCTCATGATCTTTAATTTTCCCCATAATCAGAAGATACAACAAACACGGTACATCGTCGAGTGTGATAGACATCTCACCAAGTGGTAGATGGAATGATGACGTCTCAATGTCTCATCTCACCACGAATGCATTAAGCATCCCATGGTTGATCGTAACATAATCGGTCTTGCATAAGTCATTCATCCCAGATAGGGACAAAGCAGTCCAAAACCACTCATCAATAGGCTGAGGCAAGCCACTAATCTTCTGCCCATGGTTAATAATTTTCAGTGGATCACGATTATACAGAAAAATAAATCTATGTTAGAGACTTGTAATATAATAATAAACGTAATTTAAAAAGAATGAATCCAACTAACTTTACCTCTTCGTCCCAAATATGTCTAGAAGTATAGTTCGGGTAAAGAGGCAGTAATGACAACTCTACAGTGTCTCCTCAAAATTCCTGAGGTGGCATGTGCTTATCAGCCTTAACAACCTGAGGTGGCCCTAGCTCAACAGCCTCATTAGCCTGAAGTGGCACTGGCTCATCTGCCGGAGGTGGCACTAGCTCATCAGCATGAGGTCCCACTGGTGCCTGGGGTGGCACTAGCTCATCAGTATGATGTC